TGAATGTGTTTTTGTAATACAGAAACCATTAGTTTGTCACAGTTTTTAACAGACTGTGAGGTCAGGTACTTTGAACAATGAAAGTATTAGTACAAACTGCAACATTTGGTCTTGAATTGATAAGTAACTTGTGTGGGTGGTCTAACTTTACTTACTGTATGTATATCAAGTAGACTGAAGGTTTAGGTTATTTTTTATACTCCTTTCAGTGGCATTTCTCTTAAACATTAGGTGAAGGGGCTGGGCACAGGCTACAAAATATTCCAGGGGGCTACAGCTTATTTTTTCACAATGTAAAATGTCATAATATTTGAAAAAGGGTTTCAGTTTTGTTTGAATTTAGTGGTGAATTTATAAAACCTCCATAAAACAGAATTAATGACAGAAGTATTGTGTATCAAGGGCTAACTCAAAGACTGACTCATACAGCCTGGACAGATCATCATTGGCAAATCTAAGCCACAAGGCAACATTTTTTGACAAAATATAATTAAAAATAGGTTGCTTCACTGGCTTATTAAAGCCTCTAGCAAGAAGGCTAATCTAAGCCACCAGCAGACTGGCAAACAGGCAAATTGAAGCCACCAGAGAAAATCTATGGATAGAAATTGATGTTTACACTTGCTATGGTTAGAAGCTAGAGACTAAAATAGGTTTACTTCCATTGTGGGTAAAGACAGATGAGTTGAGTTGGAACACGTCAATAAATGCTTTAACATTGGTTTCTATGTAAGGTGGATTAGTAGTTTCAAATTTCTCCATGTGAAGTTTTTGTTGTGCCTAATTGGAGCTGCCATGAGATGCCATGGCAAGCTTTTGAGAATAATTCATTTGGAAATGTATGCAATTGTAAGTGGAAAATGTTAGGAATTGCTTTTACATTGGTTTCTATATAAGGTGGATTAGTATTTTGAAATTTTCTTTTGCCTGGTATTTTGGAGATTTGTGCTATTTTGGATTTTTTTGTGCATACTTTGGAGGTCCAGTGATCTTCCATGGCATTTTTTTTTAGAGTTACATTAGGAAATTTATGGATTTTTAAATATTTGAAAAATGTTAGGAGACATTGGTTTCTATGTTATATAGATTAGAATTTTGAAATTTCTTTCTTGTGGCATTTTTTAGTTTTTGTGCCTGTTTTATTATATTTTGATGAGCTACGATTGCTCCCTAAGGCATGTTATATTTCTATTCAGGATGATGATGTAATTTTAATTAAGATAATAATTAATGCAGTGGCTTAATCATCTAATTACTAAATTATTACAGATCTTGATTAGTATTTGGGATATTTTTAAGTGATCTTTGTAATTTGTGTGCACAGTTTGAATTGTGTGGTGTTTTGTGACTTAAACAATCAAAGTTTTGTGACTTAAACAATCAAAGTTTTGTGACTTTAACAGATATATATCAGTAGGCCTAGTATAAGTGTTATAATTTGGATGTGCTTTTAAATTTTGCCACATACACACATTTTTGTGGAGATTTCATGACTTATATATATATTTATTGGATGGACAAGAAAAAAAGAGTGGCAACAGGTGTTCTGAAAAGGTTGCTTTGTTATTGCTAAATCCTATTGAAATTTAACCAGAGTTCTTTGACTTGAGTCTGACATTTAGATAACTTGGAATAAGTAACGTGTTTTTTTGTAGAGTAACACACGAAGTATTTCAGGTTATTGACTTCTTGGTATTTAGGAAATTGTTCTTCCTGATAATTGTCTTTGTTGCTAATTTTCTAAGAGAAAACATATAGCTACTAAATAGGAAGAGCGTGCTCTGTTTAAGTAACTTGCAGTCAGGTTTTATTTATATATATTTTTGTCCTCTGTCATATTTTGATTCATTTGATTGACATGTTTTGACTTATTTGATTGACATGTTTTGACTTATTTGATTGGCATATTTTGACTTATTTGATTGACATGTTTTGACTTTTTTGATTGACATGTTTTGACTTATTTGATGGACATATTTTGACTTATTTGATTGATATGTTATGACTTATTTAATGGACATGTTATGACTTATTTGATGCAGACATATAACTAATTCTTTTTTTAAGAATAATCATGTTCTAAAAATTCTCTACTGGCAACGTTAAAGATCTCTCGACAGTTGGAAATCGAAAAACAAAAGGCTATTGCCACTGTCTTGGTAAAATTAGACCACATGGTACAGAAAAGTAGGACATAAAAACTCTATTCAGTTCATTCCATTTTCTATTACTGGCAAATTATTCAAGGTCTTTGACATTTTACTACCTATGTTGAGAATTGACCTTCTAACTGAAATAATTCTAATAGACAATAGGTTGACATTTTGTATATTGAAGGTTTTTAATAGAGTCAGATTTTGACAATGTATTCAATTGATTCTCTGGTAAAATTTCCCTCATTGCACCCTGCATGGCATTGCCTGTCTTCATTAGCCCACATGGTGCAGAAGTGTTGGACATAAAACTCCATTAATTTTATTTTTGAATTGATTGTCCAGGTTGAATTACTTGATATTTTATACTAATTTGATATTTGATACTTGGTGTACATTTTTTACTTAGATTTGGCCATTTGTATTCTTGTGTTCTAGAAATTACTAGATTTACTTAGATACAGAAATATATAATATGTCTTCTATTACAAAGAGATTTAGTTAATCATTTTTACGAAGGCACTTTGTCATTTGTGTTTTCTTTTCAAGATATATGAGATTGAATTAGTCAGAAGATCTATTAGGAATTTGTTTATTCTGGAAGGATTTTGCCATTTGTGTTCAAAGGATATTCTTATATAGTTTTATAAGAAGCTAGTTTATCTAGTAGTGTATCCCACTAGTAGAAAATTATCTTTCCAGAGTGATTTTGCCATTTGTGGTTAAAGGATATTCAAATGTAAACCAATATAACATTGTGTGTTGCCCTATTATTTAAAATGCTGACTGTGTAAAAATTGTGAGAGAAAAATTCAATAAAATTTATGGGATTACATTGAAGTGAAATTGATTTTGAAATTGTTTAAGAAAAATAGAATAAAATGGAAGAAAAGGAGGAGAAAAGGGAAGAACATTCAAAATTTGTTCCTCACAGGTGGGTTCTTTGTTTAGATTTCATTGGTTATCATGCCCTCAGCGTTTCACATGCTTGAGTTCGGGTAGTTTTTAACCCAAATTCATAATGCCCCCTGAACTTTGAAGATTGATGTAATATTTGGTATGCAGGCAAAGAAAAAGAATTCCCTGAACAGGAATGAGTAGTCAAGGAGAATTTTCATGAGCATAAGACTCTTGACTCAATTTAAAAAATGTCCTTGGCACTGTTCCATTTCTTTTATGAAGTATTTCCAAGACTTGAAAAGAGGAATTTTGACGTGCTAACAAAATCCATAGACCATTAAAGAAGTTGTATTGGAAATTCTCTTTGAGTGAAAGCCTTGTTTCTTTCCTGTGCCATTTGATGGTGTGTTTGATAACTGTTCTTGACACAACTCCTAGAGCATATCCTTTAATTATTCATTGAGACAAGTTCCATACTAGTGTCATCTCTCGGGACATGTTATAGAGTACAGCTTGTAATGATACTTGGCATATGTTATATTACCAATGTTATTATGTACACTGTCTGTATGCTAAAATACGAGATCATATAAATATCAAGATGGTTTAGTCTTGAGCTGATCTTCAGAATGGCTTCCTTTGGTTTTATACAGATACAGATCTAAGGTGTCTAGACCTTCACATGGGATGAAAATCCGTACAAGCAAGACAATTTTGTACATAAGGATTATTAAAAAATTATGGTAAAAGTTGTATTGTATTGGGTTCCTGCAAAGAGGAGTACTATCAGGTTTTTTAAAACAGAGTAAGCACGGTCTGCTTTGTATAGGGACGCAGGCTGAAATAGGTCAGTTGTTTGAAGATCACATAGCATGAAACTCTGAGTTTTAGAGATCTGTTTTAATATTTTTATATATATATATGTATATTCAGTTGATTTCCTCTTAAAAATTAGCATTAAACTCTGATTAAGAACATGTTTCAGGTTCTGTTTTAATATTTCTATGTATGATCATTTGATTTCAAAATTTGATAGATAGATATAAATGTATTATATGTAGAAGATTTTTGACCTATTTATCTATTGATCTACTAGTTAGTTTAGTGTGAAGTTGAGTGTAGTATAGCTCTGTTAGAGGAACTTGTATCAATAAGATATTCTGATAACACTCACTCTTACCTTAGGATCAATAATTATGGATTTTAAAGAGGCTATACCACAGGGTACTTCAGGGTTTTAACCAAAACTTATATATAGTTGAACACTGGGAAAAAGGATTAAGCCACAGTTCATGTCTATGAGAAGCTTGCTCAATCTCTACCAATATGAGTAAGGCTTTGACCAAAGATCTTTCCATGTATAATCCATGGATTATATATTTTTTGTGAGGTCTAGCCCCTTTAATTCCATATATAGATTACAATATATAGAAATATACTATATTGATAATCAGAGTTTAATTAACTCCTAAGTCACTTCATTATTTGACTATAGCTTAATTAAGTTGTTATCCTTTAAAGAGGCAATCCCATTCATAAAGGGCTTAGTCTCTTTAATACCATAGATAGATGAAATAATTCATTGATTATTAGAGTCTAGAGAAGTGTAATATAAAATCAAATGAACTCTGAAGGAACTTCATTATAGGACTATTGCTTAATTATTTAGTTTGTTCTCTCATTTAAAGAGGCAGTCCCATTCATATGAGAGTTAACCTCTTTAATATTATCATAAACTTGATGTAACATATTGATTTATTATGAATTTTTATTAACTGATCAATTTATTTCATTTAAAGGTATAATGCCAGTTAATTTTAAACAAGGTATAAGAATTTTTATGATTCAAGACCTTCTGAATTGTGTGCCAACTGGAGTTCATTTTGTAGAGTCCACATGGTCATTTTCTTTTTGTTTTGTATTTTCAGAACATGTCTTCCAGTGCCCATGTTTTCAAGTCGAGACTTCAGCTTATGGAGCATTTTGAAACAGTGCATTGGAAAGGTAAGCATCATAATAATAGAGCATTATGAAATCAGAAAACCTGAGGGAAATGAGAGCATAAAGAATTGAGAACACCAGCAATTTAAGAGCATTTCAAAAGTTTGATAACAGATATACACATAGAGCACCATTAAAATTGAGAACATTTTAATATTACAACGATAAAAAACTCAATAAAAAAGTGACAACATATGAACAGAACATAATTTATTTACATGTTCTGAAGTTTGAGAACATATCAAAACTGAAAGCAATAGAAATTATCAGAGAGCATAAATACATAAGTAAAACATTACAGAAATTGACTAAAAACACTTGATAGCATTTCATGAATTGAGAACATATATATGAACATAATATTCCAGCAAAAATTCAATAAAGTTATGAACTATTGCTCTAAAAATCTGAACATTTGATCAGTCATAGAATCATTAATTTTGATGGATGTGGTCGAAATTTGGTCTGACATCATTTGGCTCTATAAGGCTATAAATATTTATTACAAATGACTCATTTCCTGGAGAATCGCAGGATTCCATCAGTATTTTATTTCTATTGGTCTGGCGCTATGAATTGATGTCCGTTCTAAATTACTTCATCGGAAAATATCCAATATGAATTGTAATAAAATTTTGAATATTATTAAGGGACGAAATAGAATATTTTAATTGAAATGAAATGAGATATTAAATATGAAATGAAATAGAATCTGATATAATGAAATGAAATGAAATTGAATCTGATATGATAGAGACTATCTAATGAAATGAAATGAAATATCATATTTGAAATAAACTGCAATAAAATATCTAATAAAATGAAATAGAATAAATAATATGAAATGAATTAGAATGAATTTGAAATGAACATAAGTGTTTAATATGAAATTAAATGAAATTGAATCTGATATGATAATGAAATGAAATGAATTTGAAATGAACATAAGTGTTTAATATGAAATTAAATATTTATGAAATGAAATTGAACATTTGATATAAAATGAAATAAAATGTTTAAAATTGAAATGAAATTGAATATTCCATATAGAATTGATTTAAAAACTATTTATGTTAGTGAAATGAAAGCAGGGAAGATGAACTTGACTAAAATTAGCTTAATACATACTGGGTATAGGAAGCATTTCAGAGTGAAGTAGATACTTTACAATGCCCCATATACTAGACTAAACTATCCATGTCATGCAATAGATACATAAAGCAAGACAAGAGAATCACCTATTTATCATTGACCGTTAGAGAGCCCTACTGATAAGTTGTTTTGTCATGATATATGGGCACTAAGTGAGCTGTCTGCTAATCTTTGTCAGGCACTACCAGGCTTTTGTGTGCTGTGGTCAGTGCTAGACAGGATCTTCAAGTCATCTATCCATCATCTTTCCATTTAATCTTCATATTCTATTCTAGTTAATCCATCTGAATTTTATCCATCTTAAAAATTCATCTGTGTTAATGATCTAGCTCCCTTTCATCTATTCATTTGGCCTTCTCTCCCTGGATTCATTGATCCTTTTTAATCATCTAGCCATATTAATCTTATTCATCTATCCCTATTTTCCATCTGACCATCTGTATATCTATCCATCTAATTCATATATATATCTCATTTATCTAACCATCTCATCTTTCCAAGCATTTAAGTTAGATCAATAGATCTTGTGATTAAAAATATTTGTAGATCTATTTTCGTATAAAGATTGGAATCTGAGCGTAAAAAAACATCTCCTGGATTTTTACATTAAAAGCATTGATTTACTGTCTATCTGGAAGTTGTTTTATCATTTTCCTAGTCCTTAGAAACCTTGTAGTCTAGTTACAATCAGTCTGGCTAGATTGTGGCCGTCTAGGTCGTTGATCTGTAGGAGAGAAGTACATATATTTTTGGCAAAACAGTTAGATTGATGAGAACATATTGTAGCATAAAAAACAATGAGAGCATTTATGAGAACATTGTTCTGAATTCTGTGAGATTTGAGAACATGCAATAGCATTGTAAGATTGTTGAGAACATGAGGAAATTAAAAACACTCAGAACATGTTTGAGATCATGATTAAAATTTCACTGTGATTTGAGAACACACAGAACATATACAAACAGAGCATGCAATAGCATTGTAAGATTGTTGAGAACATCAGGGAATTAAGAACATTTAGAACATTAAAAGCATGTTTGAGAACATTGTTCTGAATTCTATTGAGAACACACAAGAGAGCATGCACTAAATGCTGCTAACTTAATTTAAAGTCAGTTTACTTGAAAGATAAATTGCCAATTTCACTTTGCATGGATGAACGTATTTGGAATTGTAATAAGAATTCAATTTAATACAAGTTAAGGTAACGATATCAATGCCAGTTTCTTTAATGATGTCATGTTCTCAGGAGTTCTGATCAGGGAAAAATCAAGGGGATTTTTTTAAGAATTTGGTCAAAATATTGAATAACCAATAGCTCTGGAGTATTTTTTCTTTTGGCTATTTGATTAACATATTTTGACTTATTTGATTGACATGTTTTGATTTATTTGATTGACATATTTTGACATATTTGATGAACATATTTTGATTTATTTGATTGACATGTTTTGACTTATTTGATTGGCATGTTTTGATTTATTTGATTGACACATTTTGACATATTTGATGAACATGTTTTGATTTATTTGATTGACATATTTTGCCATATTTGATGGACATATTTTGATTTATTTGATTGACATGTTTTGACTTATTTGATTGACATGTTTTGACGAACATATTTTGACATATATATGTAATATTTTGTTTAACATATTTGATTGACATGTTTTGACTTATAACACCAAGCAAATACCAAATTCTCTGGAACCGGAAAACATAGGTTGAAAAATCTAATAGCACCATCTCAAACTATGCCTGGAAGTAAGTCTTGGAGGATCTCAAACAACCAAGGTATTGGCAATTCCTGGAGTTAATTAGTATAAAATCAGACCGATACATCAATTATTTGGTTGGTGCCTAGAGCCATGTAATAACTAACCAATTTATATATAATTTAGTTTCATACCAATTTATCAATCTTCCTTCCAGCATCAAACCATTTTTCACTTATTCTTGTTATTTTATATGGTAGCTTCCAAAAGAAATGCAATGGAGTTTGTTTTTTGGGGATTTTTGTTAATCGAACTCTTGCTCTCTCATCCAGTTCAAATTTTTTTTATTAAGAATTATCAAATGTTTAGGCTTAAAACAATTAAAAGTTTTTTCCCCTTTTATCTATCTGAAATTCCATTTGATATCTGTGAAGATAGAATGATTTTGAAAATGAGATAAGCAGGGAAAGTACTATATTTAACTAGTAAAATAACTAGTGGTAGTCTAGTCATTAGAATTGGTACATACTTTTATAGTACCCAGTTAGTTTATTGATTTATGTTGGTTAATATTGGTATGAATCTAGGTTCATTCATTCATTCATTCAGTCATCAAACTATTATCATTCATTCATTCATTCATTCAATCAGTAGACAATGTTCATTGATCATTCAGTCTTTCTGTATATTTATGACCAACTGACAAGATACTAAGTAGATTTATTGATTTTGTTCCAGATAAACACTGGCTTTCTTGTTTCTTTACTTTGAATACACTTGTCATTCATTCATTCATTCATTCATTCATTCATTTTACCTTTGAATAATCTATTTAATTATTACATTCAGTCATTAATTATGTATTCATCATTCAACTTATCAGTCTATAGATCCATTCATTCATTCAGATATTCATTGGTGCAGTCTATGAATATAATTTTATTTCATTTTATAAATTCATCCCTTTGTGTTTCTATAAAAAGTAATTTGAATTCACATTTTCAATCTATGACAGTAATTTTTAATTCATTCATTTATTCAATCATTCATTCATTCATTCATTTTATCCATTCATTCATTCCTTCTATCAGTCTTTGTATAAAAGTAATTTGAATACCAGGATAATAGTTATTGATTCCAATCATTGTAGCTAATTCTATGTTTACGTCTTCAAGCACGGTTCCTGATATTGACATCTATTTGATGGATTACCAAGTATTTTGGCGCCATTGATTGCAGGCTCTTTGATTTGGGTGATGAAAGATCTGGCAATTGTTAGGGTCAGTTGCTATGGATCTTAGTAATACAAGAATTTCAAAATGAAATTGCCTATCTTTATCTTTATTGGCTGTATGAATTAGTTGAAGAAAAAAAGGCTACTCAATTTTGGAACTTTGTGTTTTTTACTGCTCTTCCAATGTCAATTTTTCTGCTCTTCCAATGTCAATTTTTCTGCTCTTCCAATGTCAATTTTTTCAGCTCTCCCACTGTCATTTTTTCAGCTCTCCCACTGTCAATTTTTCAGCTCTCCCACTGTCAATTTTTCAGCTCTTTCAATGTCAATTTTTCTGCTCTTCTGATGTCATTTTTCTGCTGTTCCAATGTCATTTTTTCTGCTGTTCCAATGTCAATTTTTCACCTTTTTCAATGTCAATTTTTCTTCTCCTCCAACATCATGTTTTACTGCTCTTTCAATGTCATTTTTTCTACTTTTCCAATGTCAATTTTTCTGCTCTGAATACAAAATGAAGCAGAGCTGCCTGATTGATAAAAACTTAGAATAGAAATCAATTGGATTGATTACTATAGGGAAATATAGGTTGATGAAAGATACAGTTTTTACTCTGTTAGAATGTCTGGATTTTATCTTGTTTCTCTTTAGAGCCATTATATATATATTGAATGTTATCTTTTCAATATACCATACTTGCTCATAATTGATATACTTGCTCATAATTGATATACTTGCTCATAATTGATATAATTGCTCATAATTGATATACTTGCTCATAATGGATATACTTGCTCATAATGGATATACTTGCTCATAATTGATATACTTGCTCATAATTGATATACTTGCTCATAATGGATATACTTGCTCATAATTGATATACTTGCTCATAATGGATATACTTGCTCATAATTGATATACTTGCTCATAATTGATATACTTGATATACTTGCTCATAATTGATATACTTCCTCATATGAAAAGTTAATTAACTGCTACCAATTTATTGCCAATATCTTGTTTAGGATTTTGGGTTTTAATTTTTAACTTTTGATACAAAAAAAGACAAAACAAAAAAATATATATAAATAATTTGTATATTCTGTCTTATATAGAAAAATAACTGATTGACTTAGTACAATTAATTCCTATCTAAGATTGTCAACTGAAAAAATGAATAACAATTGATTGAAATCTAGTCTAGGATGGAAAAATGTCCGTATGTGTCACTTATCAAATCAAATCAAATCAGTTGAGTATTTTCATATGGAGAATATGTTTATTTTATCTTCAGGAGCTGTCGAAGATCACAATGCCTGTAGTTTTTAACGAACCCCTGAGTTTCTTACAACGACTAACAGAATACATGGAATACTCATATTTATTGGACAGAGCTAGCCAAACTTCTGACCCCATTGAAAGACTTCAGGTAAGACTGCATCTCAGCTTCAAACATTGACTGTGATCCAACTAGCTTCCTTCCAGCAGAGGCTTCTAATGAATCAAAGGATTTTTTTTCAAACAAGGGCTGTGCAACTTATGGACCCCTGAAATCCTTACAATCCACATAAAGAAAACTGCCGTTTCCATTCCACATTATGAGCATGGGAGATACTTTGTTGTAGCCCTTGCAAATATCCCAAATGCTGGCCCCCAAAAATCCATAAAAACCTGCTATATCTATTCCAGTATGTATCAGCATTTGCTGTATCAGCCATATCATCAAATTGGGAAAGATTGGGAAAACCTTTCAACCCATTGCTGGGAGAGACCTACGAACTAGATAGGTAGGTACTATGACACCATGCTTCAGGGTGGTGTGCAAAGTTGCTGTTGGTGATACCAATCAGAAGGATTGATATAAACAATGCTTCAGGGTGGTGTACCAGCTTGCTGTCGGTGATACCAATCAGAAGGATTGATATAAACAATGCTTCAGGGTGGTGTACCAGCTTGCTGTCAGTGATACCAGTCAGAAGGACCTGATATGGACAACGCTTCATGGTGGTGTGCCAGCTTGCTTTCAGTGATGCAGGTCTTTGCATGGACAAACCTTCTAATCTTTTTGAGGGAACACTAAACCATGCTGTACTTGTGCCCTATATACATTTGGAAATCAAGTGGGCTACTACCATCTTAGTCCAAAGGGGAGTAGAAAGTAGGGTGAAACTTCCATTTCATTTCGTTTATTTCAGAAGTGAACTAGGATTCCGGCTCATCAGTGAACAAGTCAGTCACCATCCACCTATCAGTGCATTCCATATTGATTCACCATTATATAAATTTCATGGTCAGATCTATCCAAAATTAAAATTCTGGGGAAAATCTGTGGATATTCATCCTAAAGGTTATGTCACATTGGAGTTGAAAAAGTAAGTATGTTTTTGATGCAATTTAAAGGGATTGTAAGACATCTGTGCCTGTTGCAATTCAACTTGAACTAAGGGATTTATGATGTAACCATTGTAATATTATGGATATTATTATTAGGTTTTCTGAATAAATTAATTTGTTGTACTACAAGTCATATGATGTTTTCATATATTCCTTTGGTTTTCTTCCAGATTTAATGAAGTATATACCTGGCAGAATGTAAATTGTTGTGTTCATAATATTATAGTGGGTAAACTCTGGGTAGAACATGTAAGTCATGCTTCATCATCAGCTCATATCCACCATCCAAATTACCTTCAATGCATACTTCATGGTATTGATCTTAAGAGAAGAAAATTCAGGGGAAAAACTTCATGGCATTGTCTGCAGAAGTAGATTAGACGGATGGAAAACACCATAAAATTAATGAACATTTAAAGATAACCTCTAATCTTTTTCCATGTCTGCTCAAATTACTGGTCTAAGGGAGATAATTCACAATGATTATGTTTACAGTCTGGTCCAATGGAGATTATCAATCATCAAACCAAACATCGAGCTGTACTGAATTTCAAACAAGGAGGATGGTTTGGAAAAGATCTTCATAAGGTCGAAGGTTACATTTATGATCCTGAGTAAGTACTGGCGTTTAAGATCTCTGGATCTCTTGAATTTACTGGAATCAGAGTAAGATCCCTTAGCAGATGGAAATCAAAAAAGAGAAGTCTAGACTAGCCCAAATTCCCTGATTACAAACTACATGATGTACTCTACTTTGGTTTAATCATGACCATAAAAGGAGGTTATAAAGCCTCATTTAATTTAACCAAGAGTTAGAAAAGGTGCATATTATATTCGCAAATATACAGTAAATGAATAGTATATAATGAAATTTCCAGCTTTTATTTTATTCATGATCTTGATGAATTTTGTTGCAGTAAAAAGAAGTTAAAAGCCATCTGGGGTAACTGGCTGATGGGATTGTTCTCTGTCAATGCTGGAACATATGATGCTCATGTTGCTGCTATGCCCAGTTCACCTCCACATACTCCTAAGGTAGTCACTTTCTCCTTGAACCCCTTCCTTGTTATCCATTCACCCCTCCTTGTTATCCATTCACCCCTCCTTGTTATCCATTCAACCCTCCTTGTTATCCATTCACCCTCCTTGTTATCCATTCACCCCTCCTTGTTATCCATTCACCCTCCTTGTTATCCATGCACCCCTCCTTGTTATCCATTCAACCCTCCTTGTTATCCATTCACCCCTCCTTGTTATCCATTCACCCCTCCTTGTTATCCATTCACCCCTCCTTGTTATCCATTCACCCCTCCTTGTTATCCATTCACCCTCCTTGTTATCCATTCAGAATTCAATTTATCTAAAAAATACTGTTGCTTTGGATGTATGATTTCTGTCATCACATTCTTTTGAAATCTTTAGGTAAATGGAGCAGGTGGAGATGCTGAAGATGCATCTGATGAACTGCCCTGTAAATCTTTTAATTCCTTTGATTTAAACATTCCTGGTCAGATCACTTTATGGCAGGCCACACCTAGACCTGAAGACTCAGCCAAGGTAGAAAAGTATTCCTTGTGTTTTCTCTTTTAAATGATTATATTTTATGAAATAAAACGCATGGTCAGCTAAACAGATGCATCCCTTTCAATTCTGTGGTGGAGGTTTGATTACATAAAAAGTCTATCATGTTATAGCTGAACAGAGGATTTGATTGGTTGAATTAGTGAACATACCTTGCATATAAATGTTGTTAGATCTAAGTTGAGTGAAGCAAAATTAAAGAATCAAATTTGTATACATGTACCTATCAGGAGTTTTTTGGTTTTGATTTCAGTATTTTTCATTTACATTATTTGCAATGACATTAAATGAAATGATGCCAGAGATGAACATCACTCTACCACCCACAGATTCCAGAAAACGTCCTGATATTAGATATCTAGAGGAGGGCAAGATAGGTAAGATTGTGGACAGCCCTAGGGCAACCCTGCTCAGTCACCTCCCAGCCTACCTCTTCTCCTGCACCTCTTCCACGACTCTCAAATTTGGTATCTTTTTAAATAGGGAATGCCTGGTGCTGGGAGTCCCCTGATAGTTCTGTACATGGCTCCTCTTGTTGTTGGTTATTTTGGCTTATCACCTGGTAGGGAAAAATTGGACAACTTTGTCATTGTCAGTAGGTTCTACCTTTATTAATGATTGGAATTTCTTTGCTTCGCCCAATTTTAGACCTCTTTGTCTTGTGTTTTAGATGAAGCAGCAGATGCAAAGAACAGACTGGAAGAAAAACAACGACAAGCTAGAAAAGAGAGGAAGAAACAAAAAGGGGATTGGCAGCCATTGTAAGAATTTATCAACATGCATTCAGTATTTTTTGTCTGGAGAAGATGTGGTTGACATCTATGAAATACATACCATATATTTGCGAGTATAGTGCGCAGATTTTTAACCTAAAGTGGGCTTTTAATTGGGGGTGTCCAAGAGGGTATTTTATGCATTTTTTCACTCAGAGGCCACCTTCTGAATATTCTTTTCGGGAATTTTGTGAAATATTGAATCACCATTTTGTTTTTTGTTGGTTTCCAGGTGGTTTGAGACTGTGAAGAACCAATACACTGGAAAAGAAGAGTGGGCATACAAGGGAGATTACTGGGAAAGAGACTTTTCTAAATGTGGTGACATATTTTGATGACGTCTGCAATAAGTGTGCTATTTATAGTAACTTATGCAATGATCTAGAAATTGTGATCAGAATGCTGGAGCATAGCACAGTAGCTAAGTGGTTGAGAGTTATTGCCCTTGTTGATGTGGACATAGAGTTATGTCCCTTGTGTTTAGTGAATATAGAGATCATACCCTTTAGAAGATGGTAGGCCTATACCTTGTGTTTTTAGATTCCAAGCAGCAATTGTGATAATTATTTAGAGATTTGTAGTAGTTAAAAGATAGCAATGCATCAAAAATTTGGATGATAAGATATGAATCAATGTTTCTAGGGACATTTAGCTTCAGAACTTCCTTGGCATTAAATATTATTAAATTGCTTATACTTGCAAATAATTCAAAGCCCATTTGTCATGCACTTATATGTAACTTAGATTAAATGACACAGTTATAGAAATACATATTAGTCATTGTTATAATGAAGTGTGCACCAGCAAATTTTGTAAATCATTTGTAATACATGTATTTCCTTTAATGAAATGTGAAATTACAAATTTTGTAAATCATTTGTGATATTTCCTTCAATGAAATATGAAATTACAAAATTTGTAAATCATGGGTAAAATTTATACTATAATATATAAGAAACGTTTTTAAATCATTTGTAATTATCCCACTAGGAGCTCATACACATGCAGCTGGTCTGCTCATGATAACACCAATGCAATGAATATCAATGCATGTATTCGTTTATATATGACATATGTAGTACTTAATGGAGGCATTGTAGACGATCTAGGCATTCTAAAGGTCTTCTCTTTGTATTTTGATATGCTCACATGTATGTATGTAGATGTACCCAAGGCTTCAGTCCATTGGTGTTCACGTAGGGGAGAAATTTCACTTGTATATAAGCATAGCCATGAATTTTGTGTCATTCCGTAAACTTTGATATTTAGGGACCAGAGACCAAGATTGTTTTTAAAGATGTGTTGTTTTTTAATTCCATTAAGCATCAATGACAGTACTGTGGGACCACATGACAATAACTTCTTGTATTTTATTGTCTCTGTCCGTCATTGGTAAGGACAGTGAAGGCAACAGCATCGTTATCCTATATTCTGTTAGAACAATAAAAGACCAAAAATCGCATTCTATTGATCAAATCACTGGTATCCACATTCATAACTGCGGAATACCCACAGTAAAAGCATTAGCATCTTCGTAATCCCTATTTGTGTCTACCTCCATAAAAATAATATTGATTGAATGATTTAAGGTTCACAATTGGTGAGGTTAAGATTTAACGTTATTGTTCCATGTTGTCCAAGACTGACCTCAGGAAACTCGTAGACCTGGTTTTGGAAGCATGGAACTAGCGTGGACATTCGCCTCATCCTGAAGGATACGATGATATTAGGGTATTTTAAAACAATTATTTGAATTAATATCAATCTTATAATAATACAGTTCAAGATGGTTCATGATCTTTCTAAGAATTTTCGAACAGTACTTACACGTGGGTCAAAGTTCCCAAGATGGTGGAAAGCCAGTCTAACAAAAGGAAAACCACAAAAAATGCATCTTGATCTACAATTTAATCAGATTGATATATGATAGGATTTGTACCATAGAGAACATTGAATAAAACTATGTAACCCATGCTGTGCCTTGTTTCTTTGTGCCATTACTTTGGTTTGATTTAATCTGTCTTATGGTCTAACAGTTCCTGAGGATCGGCTTCTCATGCTATGTCAATGGAGCCATCGACCATCACGATTGGTTGGAGGAGTAGGGAGGTAAGCCAAAGGCCATGCTTGCAAAATTCGGGGGTTTTGGTTGTAAGTAGCACATGGCAGACAAATGTTGATTTGTTAACGATATTTATTGCAACATAGATTTAATATAAACATTCATACACAGAATCACGAACAAACACTACAACGATTAACATAATCCAAACGTAAATGACCTAATCAACTTAGCAAAATAAATGCAGATTCAGTCGCACAAGTACTGATGGGAAAACAGCATCATTTTGATTTCCATCTGTAAAGGAACTCTGACGATGGCAAGTAAGGTCTCGGTGTATTGTCTCATCGGCAATTGAAGCCTATTGTCAGTTCTCTAAGTCACACCGAAGCACTCGGTTCCACATAAGCACTTCGTGTCTATTATTCATTTGGATTTAATTAGTACAATAATCTCGTTCAGTCAATGAGCACTTTTTAATGAGTAAATAAAATTAATTCATAAGCACAAATTCCTATAGGTCCACTTGGTGTCCATATCCATAATATGAGGGACTTCCCCAAGAATTCCACCAATCAAATGCCTCATTCTCTTCAGACGGGATTCCAAATCCTTCTTAATGACGTCATATTCCCTTTCCTTCATGGACATGAACTCCATGTGAACCTCAATGAGAGACTGGATAGCCGAAATCCTCACTTCCTGGATCAAGACTGTGTCGATTCTTCGAGAAGCCTTTGCTGATTCGTGCTGGTGGTCCAAGTCTATCAGTCTGGATTCCAAAGAGTTCAGCTTGGCACATGAACGACGGTATGCCATGGCAATGCTTTGCAAATTGCTGGTTAATAACTGGATGGTCCTGTCGGAAGGTCTGACGGTTATGATGCTTGCTTCCATTGCTGATCCTGAAAAGATGAGGAAGACGCTGACGATGATGCTACTGATGATGATTGTCACAATGGGAATTGACAATGCCAAGGTAATCACTAAATATTTCCACTTTTAGTTTCCTAAGTTTATCTGACAGTTTTAGAAAACCAGATGAGTATCATATAGGAAAAGAACACCAAATACTGACCAAAATTTGTAGCTGTGGGTATATCAAAGTGAAAGTTGGCCACTTACAATGATAACGTGTAGATGATAAATGGAGCAATTTGAGGCAATAATATACAATAAAATATCATCTTACATAACATGATGAGGGGGTTAAATTAATTTTGCCTTGGGGTATTTGGGGACATCTCTTTTTTAAAATATGGTAAATGTGAAAAAAGCCAGGCAGCTTTTCAGTTAAAATATGCAAAATCCAACTTTATTGTTTACAAACCTTGGAATTTTAACACTGATTCTAATACGTCAATGGCGATATGTGGTGATGTCCGTAGCCTTATGACTTATGAGAGGGAATGCTGTTTTCCCCATTTATGTACCTTTATTGGTAAAATTTACAAATATTGTTACAAACACATGATCAATATATTTCCGGAAATTTGATTAAGACTTTACACTTAACGAAATTGAGAAAGTTAAAAGTATATCGTTAAGAAAACACGAATTATTTGAGATTTAAAAGTCGTATTGAGACCCTATTACTCCGAGAAAGCCTTCTAATAACACGCACGTGGGCCGATTATCGGGTAGCTAATTTCATTATGGGACAGAATGAATATTTTCATTTTATTTAGCGCATTTCAGACGGACGGTAAATATTTAAGTTTAGGAAAAAATGCAAGTTATATTGTTAACAATTTGGGAATGTATGTCTTCAGCAAATGGAGATAAATGTAAACGTAATACCACGTCCAGTAAGGCCCCTTTAAGAAGTAATTTAAACGCTTAATGATTCATCTTACTTGATAATCCTGCTGTCCGATGTAACGTTTTGACACTATTATCAAGACTTTAAGGATGACTACCGGACGTAATGATATAATATTACACGCGAGTGTTCGAATCCCTTAATCAGCTCTTAAATCTAATTCATTTTTTAATTTTCATTTTTTATTATTTTTTTCTTTTTTAGCATGGACTAATATACACTATGGTTAAAAATACCCAAAGAGCTGGATGGAATTGTCCTTCAAAGCTTTGAAATAAATGAAATAAAATATCCAAGGTAATTGTTTTTCAAAATCCATCTTGAATACTCGATCATACGTCACAACATGTCAATCAAAAATGCCAAAATATATCCGTCAAAATTTTTATATGTCCGCCAAAACAATAAATATGCCATAACTTGTCAGTAAAAAAATGCAAACATATTTCAATCAAAAATTGTATATGTCCGTCAAATATGCTAAACCCTGAATAAATAGTCAATAAACATATCCAAATTGAGTCGAAGTATGTTAATCAAATAACCAACGTTTAAAAAACGGACTCTTTATGCATAATAAGATATTTTTACGCCCGACTCTTTGATAAAAAAAAATAAAACTTGCAATGGTTTAATTGAATTGTTTTCAAAACCACTTACAGTTTTTATGATTAGCTATGTGAGTGTTATGATTTCCCGGATTTATTTTAAGGTTGTTATAGCGTGTGCATGTGTTTTTAGTATTTTCTGTTTGCGCGTGCATTGTAGTATATGTTTAACATTGTATAAATAAATTCACTTACCTTCAGTCTTTTAACCGGGATCGAACCCGCGCCGCAAACTTTTCGCATTAGTCGTGTAATTATTATCGCGCTCTTTAATCGGATGAGCCATCGCTATTGGCTGAATGTGGCCATCAACATCCAGTCTATAAGCTATGGTTAGTCCGTTTACACTGACTCTACGTTGGGAAGTTGGCATAAATAGAAATTCTTTTTCCCATGATCCTGTGTTCTTCGTAGTCGATTGGTTAGGGTGACGGAATTTTACCGTGGCGGACTGGGTTCGATTCTCTGAAGGGGCGCATGTCCCACAGTTTTTACATTTATACTAAAAAGTTCAGGTATATAATGGTTATTTGCTACAGATTTTTCTGTGTCCGGCGTAGTCCAGTGGTACGAAGAGCTACTCTAGCCCATGGAGTCCCTGGATCGAAACTCGTTGGAGGCAAGTTAGATATTATTTTAACATTTATACTAAATGGTTCAGATATATAATGGTTAATTCTTGATCATTTGCCGTGTTCGCCGTAGACCTGTGGTTAGAGGAGACTCTTCGGATCAAGACAAACCTGGATCGAATCTCGTCGGGGCCGGCGATGATGATGGTATTATTTTGAACTTATAAATGATTCACAATCATTTAAAACAGCTAAAATTTCGTGGTTTGCT